CTGATGAATTTGCCGGAGTAGATGTAGCAGTTTTTAGCACTTGCCTTGGATTTTTTGGTAAGTGCGGCCGTTGTAAGCCGCTGTGATAGCGACGGTTTTTTGTGGTGGAAGGGTTTTTCCTTGAGGGGTTTTGCCCGGACGCCGGGTTTCCCCTCCATATGTTACCATGTTGGTATTTTCTGATGTATCCTGGGGCGTTCTTGCCCAATTGATGGTTAGTCACTTGCGTGAAGAACCAGGGAGGGTGTTCGTGAGTCTGCGAACATTGCTGTTGGATACATGTGCTGGATGATTTTGTGTCACGCAGACTGGTAAGATAACCGTTTGATAGGGGGCACCGCGATGATTCACGGGGCCCCTCTTTGCTGTGGGAGCCGCTCTTTGAGCACTCCCTCTTTCGTCCGTGTGAAGGACGGTCGTCGACCTCTCGTGAAGTTAATACATCACCAAAACAGTCTCACCCGATAAATAAGTGGCGTAGGCCGCAAACAAACGATGCCTACCGAACCCTCAGATGCGCTGCAAGCTAGTCCTGGTACACGCGAACAGCAACATGGGAAGTGGAAGTTCGCTGCCACTGGAAAGGATCTGTCTCCGCACAACTGCGACCCTGCTGCTGGCGTCAAAGAAGTCGCCGACTGCAACTTCTCCAACTCCACCTCCCCAGAAATGCGCCTCTCTCCACCGTTGCTGCTCCCATCGACGGCGATGTTATCGTCAGGATGCGCGCGGTGCGTGGGGAGGGGGAGGCGGAGACGGCGGTGGAAAGAGAAAGGGATCGCGGGGAGACCAGTCAATTTCTCTGTCCTAAAACAGCCGCACAACAAGTAGTTTCAAAAGTCGTTCAATAAGTTCTTGTCGAGCACACGTGCATGCGGGGAGATGGTGGCCACACATGACGAAGGTGATAATTTCGCCGTTTGAAGTGGCGATGCTTTTCTTCGACAAATTTCTTGGAACATGTTCACATCTTGCTGAGGGACGTCACCGCTTGGAGGGACCACCGTGCTCCGAAGACCTACCAGAGTATTTCGCATGTGTGAGGCCTTGTGCTACATCCTTGCGTGCGTGACTTCGTGATACAGCATTGATTGTACTGTTTGCGTTCTCCATATGCAGTGTAGAGACTCAAGGGCAGCGTACCCACCCACCATCCCGAAAACATCGATTGGCCCATACATGTTTCGAACCAAAAGGACGCATGACGTCACGAGCTTCCTCCAGACGTCCAATGACGACGTGGACCGTCTTAAATGAGTAGAAGCTCCCCCGTGCACTACTTCATCGGTGGTCAGGATACCCCGTTGACAGCCGATGCAAGGCCAACCCATCTTCCAAGTGCAGGGAAGCGCGGACTTCGAGATAACCACCTTGCTTGCCCAGCCCCCCGAACGACCCCTAGTAAGCACACAGAGCGATGATTGTTATCGCTCTGTGTGCGTGCCAGAGTGCCATCGAAGTGATCGGGAAGCCAGTTGATGGCCTCCAATCCGACGCTTACCATCACCCGGAGGATGGGTTGAACTTGCGTCGTCTGTCAAAGGGGGGTTGTATTGAGCGAAAGCGGGTTTTGCGGTGTGGGTGCTCCAGCGCGTGATCGGCAGCAAGAGGGTGAGACAAAGACAAGAGACAGAGATAGGTGGGGGGGAGGGAGCGAGAGGGAGAGAGCGAGAGATCCATCCTTACTGTGTCTTCGTGCGTCCATCGATAACGGTCTGCGAGAAGTCCCTTTAACGGGAAAAATCGGACAACCTGCAGACTGCAGCAGTTGGTTATTCTGCTGCAGTTTGCAACTACCACACGATGGGATGGATGAAGTTCCACAACTTGTGCATACTATGCAGAGACATCCATCTTCATGTGCACTTGCCTCAGCCCCCTCCATGACGGTCGGCGTCCGGATCGTCAAATGGGCACCGGGGTGCGCAAGCACGACGCCGTGTCTATGCTTTTCGTCCTACTCTGCGATGAATACAACGAGATTGGGCAGACATTTGGCAGTACACTGTGGAATAGCCGTTTTCTCGGTGATGATGTTGATTGTTTTGCACCGTACATCGAAAACGAAGCGTGACGGTAGGAACGTGTCGGACAGTAGCTACACAAGGAGTGAAATTGGGAGAATGCAACGCAAACCAGCGTTGCCCTGTATTCCGCTGATCAGTTTCATCTCTATTGCATCGACGTGTTCATACATACTGAAGAGTGAATTTTGTGGTGTCCAGTCCTTCTATTGCATGTAAGGTGCACGCACGCCTTGCTACCGGACGATGGGGATAGATCCGTGATGGCTAGACACACAGACTCTGGGCTACAAGATGAAAAATGAATATTGGAATTCACAAGATGTGGCGTTCTGCAGCAGCGGAGGTGGCGGTGCTGCTGTAGCTCGTAGACTTTGCAGTTTACCACAGAGGTTACACTGCTGTCACCGCGGTGCTGCTGTAGCTCGTAGACTTTGTAGTCTATCACAGAGGTTACACTGCTGTGAGATCGGTACGCTCGAGCGAGCTTCGGAAAGAGAAATGTAGATAGATGTTCTTATCAACTGACTCCCTGGTCAGGCTTTGATGGGTGCTAGATGAGAGTGAGCACAAGGGGCGAAGCGCGCTTGTGTCTCAGCTCAACAACCAAAATCAGAAAACAAGCAGCAAGCACAGCAGGTTCCGAGGGTCTCCGGGGTATTGGCCGTGTTAGACGTACTCACAGCATGGACAGATTATTGCAAGCAATAAATTTCCGAGCAGATGGAGCGGGGAGTTTTGGGGGTTCAGCGGTTGCTTTGGATTCGGTTTGATGGTACCAACTTTGCCGAATATTACAGGATTGAGGGTGGGGATATGTGTGTGTCTACAACGGATATGGTGATCGTGCGTTGTGGTTCCTCACTTGTTTTTTTCCTCTTTTTCGTCCTTCCTGTGTGCAATCAAGTGCTTTTCCCCCGGCTATCACGCTACCACGGCTATCACGCCACGACTTCCACGCCAATCCTGGCTATCACGCCACCAGGCTATCACGCCTTCCGGACATCCACGTCCTTACTTTTTATACCTTTCCACCACGACTATCACGTCACCAGGCTTCCACGCCACATCCAGAGATACCATACCCGAGCTATCACACTCCATCCCAAAGTAGAAGGCTGTCACGCCCATCATAGTTGCTACACCGTTGACGGCTACCGCGCCGCTGGCTCTTTTATTTCCCAACCAAGGGACCCCGCGCTCCAAGGCACCGACGCACAAAGCTACTCAACACGCTAGCGTAAGCATCAAGAGAGTGGCCGCCGTGTCTAAGCGCGCAACATGCCGGACGGAGACAGACGAAAACCTCCGGGGGGATCAGGTTAGGCTGTCCCTTCCCCCGGGGTAGGCGTCGCGGACGGAGGAGGGAGCGATTCTTTCTTCATCAACGATGCACGAGACCGAGGGGGTGCGCGAGCGACAGGAGGGGAAGATCAGCGCGACAGGACGCATGAGCTGGTTGACGGCTTCAAGCAGGCCTTCGCGACATCATGACCAGGGGCACCGTGCCCACTCAGGCACCTCTAGCAACCAGATCTTAGAACTGAGGCAGAGAGACAAGATAGATGTACCAGTTGTTGTTGTTTTGTTGTTTCTAGTCCACAAAAAATGGGGAGCCCTGTTGTCAAAACCCGGCACATACGACGCCGAGGGAAAACAAGAACAAAAATAGGGTACAAACCACTCGGAAAAAGAAAACAAATCCGTGAGGTTTCAGTATGCAGCTATCCTCACTCAGCGCGTCCAGGTGTCCGGCAATCTCCAATACAAATCACCTGTGAGGTTTCAGTAGTCTATGTGTCTTTCCTCACTCAAAGCGTCTATGTGTCCGGCACTATCCAACATCGCTCAACTCGTGAGGTGTCAGTATGTAGCTATCCCCACGCAGCGCGTCTATGTGTCTGGCAAACTCAAAAACCAATCCATCTGTGAGGTTTCAGTAGTCTATGCAGCTTTCGTCACTCAATGCGTCTGTGTGTCCGTCAATCTCCAATGCAAATCACCTGTGAGGTTTCAGTAGTCTATGTGTCTTTCCTCACTCAAAGCGTCTATGTGTCCGGCACTCCAACATCACTCAACCCGTGGGGTTTCAGCATGCAGCTATCCCCACTCAACCCGTCCATGTGTCTGGCAATCTCAAACCTCTCTCAACCCTTGGGGTTTCAGTATACAGCTATAATCACTCAACACGTCCATGTGTCCGGTAATCTCCTACATCACTCAACCTGTGAGGTTTCCGTAAGCTATCCTCACTCCACGCATCCATGCGTCACGCGTCTTCGGTAGCGCATACTATGGGGGATATATGTTGGGTGGCGTGTTTTACAGCGCTTTGCCAACAGCGCCAACCCACTGAAGTCTAGATTGCGGGGGGTGGGGCGGCTTGTTTTACAACGTCGTTGCCAAGCGACGAAAACCCAACCCCGATGGCAAACACCGGGGGGGAGGTCATCTCGGGGGGGGGCAGAATCTACTCAAACGCACCACACGCACCCATCATGCTTCTCAACGGACGAAGTGGGTTGTTATTCGCGTACACCTGTAATGCCGGTACTTCCTGCATGTTAAGGCGGTTCTTCATTGGCGCCCGAGTGAAAATTAGGGGCAGCATAGTAGACTACGGAGTAGTCTTTCGGTCAAACCGTGCGAGGGGACCCTGGCATTCATTCGCCCTCTTGGTCATGGGTGCCTTTCATCGCTTTATGTCCCCTCACTCTCGCCGCCACTCCAAATTGACATGAACCGTGTCCGCCCACCATGTGCACATGTACACATGTACTGTGGTCCTCGGAGTTGCTCAGTACGCTGATCGCTGATCATGCGCCATTCATTGCATTGCTTGGATTGCGTGCTCAATTCTCCTTTCAGAGGAAATCGTACGGTCGGAGAGAGTAATCTTCCTTGAAAGCGCAGCATGATGCACCTGCTGTGTACCTGGTTTTGCGCACACGAAGCCAGTTTTCCAGTAAAGCTAGAGAATAATGGAGCAGTGAATCACAAGACTACGCTGCTGCGCGCAGTCGCTTTCCATCACAACAGCTTGTCATAGATTCTTCTCGCTTTTTCAAGCACCAAAATGCGGCTGCGAGAGCTACCATTTTCCCCTCACACGAGCGAAGTGCGCAGGGCGCCTCTCGAGAAAATTTGGCAAGTTATCAAAAAATGCCCTAAAAGGGTTGATCGGGACAATGCCAAGTGAACAACACATCATCGGGGGGCGAAGTAGATAAACGCAGAATCATCCTGGTGCTCGCTTTCTGTGCATCCTGGTAAACAGTCAACGGACTGAGCGAGTCTAAAGAAACAGAAGGATACAATCCCACCTTCCGTTTGGATGATTCCCTCTTGGTCACAGGTAAAACAAAAAAAAACCGGCACACCCTCGTGTAATGAACGTCAACAACTCCTGCATATACGACTACGAAACACCAGCCGCAAAGTCGAGCCCGCAAGGTCCAACGCAAACCTACAAGAGGTATTTCGAAGAAATCAGATTCTATGTTGAGTTCATTAAAGGCCTTCCTGTGACTGCGACGCATCCTACAACTACACCCTCACTATTTTTACTATATGAAGCGGAGTGCGCAAGACAGCAGTCACGAACCTCGAAAGGATAACGAGGAGGACGACGCGGTGGGACGGTAGGAAGAGTGGGTGGTCAGGATGTCGCATGCCTCGTTCGCAAAAGACGCGCTGTCGCTTGTATGGTACTCGTTGTTCTCTCGCCAACTACTGCCCAGATATACTCCTCTTTCGTATTCCAACGTGTACTTGCCGCCAACTCCAAACACCACATACCAAGCCCAAAAGATGAGACGAACAGCAGTCTGAACCTGTAAACCTCCCCCGCCAAAATATAAGACTCCCATCTCGACAGTCCGCAGTAAGTGTTGGGTGCCCACAAAAACAAAACAAAACTCAAAAAAGCACCGTGTGGAAGACTAGACTACGCAAACGTATCATGCAACTATCGCAAAGAAGCAGGTAGATATTCATACAAAGCCCGTGGCGTTTGTTTTCCCCAACTACTCCACACGACCGCGACCTCTACCGTTTTCTCCTCCTCGCCACCTCGATGTGCAGAAGTTAAAACTTTGGGTATGTGCCAGTAACACTATTACTCCCCTGCACACGGGAATAAAAACAAAAGCGGCAACAACAACCAAAAAGTAAAGAAGCACAGGCGGCATGGCGGCTGCAGCCGCTACCGACCCGTCTCGGGGGCTCCTGCGCAGGCTACAAGCCCAACACTACCCTCCGCTGTTTCTGAAGCACCTCGTCGGTCACGACTTCGTCGTTCCCCGCAGCGCGCATCTCCTGCAATAGAAAAAACACACCAGTGCCCAATGGTCAGGCAGATCAACGGCGGTCGTGGTACCTCAATCGCGGATAACGGCAGCCAAGAGCAACAAAAGTTGAAAACGCCAACAATCGTCGAGTTTGCCAACGAGGAAACCAACGATCGCTGTGATACCAGCCCGCCGCATCGTGGAAGTCTCGAGGCGTCAGAAGAGACAAATGCGGAAAATCCAGCAATCAATGGCGAAGACGAAGCGATGACATCCATCAAGACGGACGCAAGAAACCAACTGGGAAAAAAACATGGAGATCCGCCGCGGTGGCGAGAACACGTTGTTACCAAGGACGGCCTTTGACACCTGAGAAAAGGACCACAGCGACGAGTCATGCGGCGTTGGGAGCTCCCGACGGAAATATCTTTTGTAACCCGACTGCTTCGCTCTGCCCCGGGGGCACTCCCGACATGTTGCCAGCCTTGTAGTAAAACATTGTGAAAAAAACAACCATACACAGAATATGGTGTTTTGGCGACGGGTGCTTACAATGTGATGGCAAATATCGTCTCATTAGAGCCACCACGTCGATTTCAACAAGGGATGACACAACATACCCACAGTGTGCTTCCATGAAGCAAGCGAGCACAAAATGAGAGGCCTGCTTCGACCGAGCTGCAACTACGCCGACGACAGAGCAGCAGGAAAACTTGTCCTTACCTCCATCAGCTTGAGCCGCCGCTCTGCCAAGGCCTGCGCCGACTCCGCCTCCCGGCTAGCCTGTAACCGCTCCTCCAGCAGCAGCTGCCTCTCCTCCAGGCTCAACGCCCCCCCGCGCACCCCCCGCTCCCCCTGCGCTAGGTTTCCATTGCCTCCGAGAGCTTCCCCCCCCGCCGCCGTGATTGCGGCGGCGCCCCCCCCGCCTCGGATGAAGTTCGGTGATCCGATCTTGGCCTGTAGCGACTGCACGAGTAGGGCTGTAGCCGCCAAGGGCAAGTTCAGGGTGCTGATCTGAGCCATCACCCTGTTCACCAGGTCGGTGTGGTCCACCTGTTTGATTGGGGTTTTCGCACGCATGTGTGAATGATCGTTGAAGGCGACAAGTCGGTCAGCTAAATGACGTCAAGGGTTGAACAATCAACGGTGGATGAGTGTACTGCCCACACGAACGACTGACGAGAGCATAACAAAGGCCGCTCGAACGCACAGTCATATGGATATCGTACGCACTTTGTCGTTGGTCCTCAAGAAGAACGAACACTCTGATCCACGATACCAATCCTCGGGGCAAACAATACGGTCGCCAAACCACACCAAGGGTCCGATTGAGCACTTTCCGCACCTTGGTGTCAGCGAGTTAGGCCATTACTATAGAATCAGGCGGTGGATGAAAGTGAATTAGTCCGAAAAATAAAGTGAGGCGGCCTGTGTATCATCTAGACCGAAGGTCCACTGGCACGTCCTCGAAGGGAATACCCGCCCAGCAAATAAGTGATTGCATTGGTGTATTTGGGACAGAAAAACAGCATTCCACATGCACACGGATACACAGTAACCGGTCACACGGCCGAATTCCATTTACGAGGCACCCATTCTTTGACATGTAGGCCAGACCAACCAAAAGCAGACATCGTCCACGCCCGAGACATCCGGGGGCAGTGGATGGAGAGACTGACTTTCCAGCGTGGGGGCCGAAAAGCAAAAATGGCTTCGCCACGTTCACGGAGGGTGCTGTACCGTGCTACTATCACATGGTCGCCAGTAGGTCGGCCTCACTTGGATTACGTGCCTGGGAAAGTAGGACCTCTAGTGGGGAAGGAATGATCGCTAAAGCCAATAGATGCGATAGCCTGACCCGTCACGCATTCCCATCCACGTCCAATCTGCGCACTGTCAGGAAGATGACGCTGCCGATATCAAGCGCATCTCTCTCCCAAGTCAAACCCGACCCGCGACTAACTCTTCCCACCTTTTTCCTCTTTGTTGGCGGCGCTGTTGTTGTCGCCGATGCCGCTGCCGCCGCCGCCGCCGCCGCCATAGCCGTCGAGTGACCCCTCACGGCGCCCCCTGACCCGAGCCGGAAATCTTCTGGCGTGGTCTCCGACGCCGTTCTCGGCCTCGACACGCCCGCCGCCGCTGCCGACGCGGTCGTCGTGCCGCCGGCGGCGGAGAGCGCGCTTCCTCCGCCGGCGTCGATCCCGTTCACGCCACCCGCCTGCGCGGGGTCGTTCCCGGCGACTGCCGGCGGCTTCGGCAGCAGCGGCCTGTTTGCGCTTCTGACCGAGGTGGTTTGCGGCTGCGGCTGCTGCTGCGGTTGCTGCGGCCGTCGTTGTCGCAGAAACGACGTGGAGTCGTTGCCGTTCTGGGGGGACAAGAAGGGACTTCCCGCCGAGATGGAAGGAGCTCCGTCTGCCGCGCCGGCTCCACCGGCAGCAACAACGCTGGTTGAGAGACCGGGGGCGCTGATCGTCGCTGGGGCCTTCGCCGCGGAGGCAGCTGCTGCAGCCGCCGCCGCTGCCGCTTGTACCGTCGCGCTGCTGCCACCGTTTTGGCCGTGGGGGGCGAAGAGAGCTGCGAACGGCTCGGGAGAAGGGTCCCGCCCCGCCTGCGTGGCCCCACCACCAGCGGATGGCGTGCCCGACCTAGCTGCTGCTGCTGCCACCGCCGCCGCCGCTACCGCTTGAGTGTCACCGCTCCCTACCGCCGTGGGACCCTCCCCGACGCCCTCTCCGTCCTTCTCGAGGGAAGCGGCAGTAATCTCTTCGAACACCCGCGCCCTGAGTTGCTGGACCTATCAGCAAGAAAAACAAGGAAAACTAATATTACTCACTTTCAAGTAGATGGTACCTTTCGACGTAAGCAGGGGGGGGTGGGGTACTCATTGTCGTGCATGCCGTAGTCAGACCATTGACCTCGAATCCCTACAAAGCCGGGACCGAGCACGCCGGGTTCTCACCGGACCAGGCTCTCACATCACCAAGCGCGAAGCGCCGTGAGGTATTTCGGCGAGTCGCACGAAGGGTGCGCTGCAGCCTGATTATCAATTAATTGTGTACCAATTAATTTACTTTTAGATAAGGATTCGACAGGTATAGCTTTTTTTAATTTTATTGAATCTTGTCTAAAATTTTCTAAGAGTTCAGAAAAAGGCGTATTATTATTTTCCGGCTCGAATATAGCATTCATACAAAGGCGCTCAGAAACAATAGCTTGATCGGCTGCGAGTCTTGAATTTAGGTAATCTTTTGCATGAAGGGTGTTCGGCATCTTGTGCTTACTTCCTTGCGTACGGATGACAGCTGCGTATGACATAAAATATTTTCTGGTGCGTTCACTTCCTGAGACAGTTGTAAGCACTGTGTAACTGCCTCGAGGGTGCTTGACCAATTCAACACAACGTGGCGCGATCATTCCCATTGCGCGGAGTGAGGGTTCTCGACCCCGCACAACATGATCTACTCGACTACCATTGTGGTTACCGCAAAAAAAAAAAAAACGCAAAAAAAGACAGGTGGCAAATTGGTGTCCAAGCTCACGAACTTCTGCCTCTGTCTAAGCCCTTTGCTAAAGTCGCCTGCCGAATCTCTGCCAGGTCTGAGGCCGACGGCTCATATGCGTGGGATCAGGCGTACCGCAAGACGTGGAAGATTACTGGTCACGCAGCGACGTAGCGTGTGCACGCGGATACGTTACGTGCATAAAAAACCAGTCACAACACAGCTCTTCCGTACATGTCGGACCCATGAAGAACATGGGCGTGTATTTGGCAGAGGGCAAAAACGGATGACATGCCTTTCGCGAGAAAAAGTCACGGCCACAACCACCACCACTAACAGCAACGATGACTGCGACAACGACAACACCAGCACGCACACGCCCAATAGAAGCCGATATCAAACCACTAGACTAGCCAGCGCACCTCTGACAACGGCCTTCCCGGGGGCGACCCCGGCATCCGCTGCCGCTCTCCCTCCACGCGCTCCAGCTCCTGGGTCCTCTGCGAGCGGACCCACTTTCTCAGATTCTCCACCCCAAAAGAGCCGCTGAACCTCAGGTCGACGTCGTGTCCCATTTCCGCGTACCTGGGAAACATTGCCGGAAAGAGCGCCATGCCCCCGATAGTGTTGCTCGTCTTCTGAGGTCACCATGCTGTAAGAGCGACCCCGTGGGCTCCGTCATTGCGGCGTGGCTTCAACCGTGTGTGTTCTCAACTGTGAGTGTCCATTGTTTTTCGTCCCATTTATTCTGGGTGCCAACCTGCCCTTTCCGCATATGATTGACGTACGCACGGTACCGAAACTGTTCCGATCCTTCAAAGTTCGATGTCACATCACACTGTTTGTTGTTGGTGTGGGGCCAATGCACTACTCCCGCAGCCACACGACCCACCACAATAAAACTGGCGACGGTCGGTACCGAGTGTGCGAGGGCGTGGGTTGTGGTAGCAGACAACAGCAGTCGCGGGCACGCAGCGAAAACTGTGGAGATTGTTTCTCGAACTCAAAATAACGGCCGGTCGCACGAAAATCCAGAACGCTCTTGACAACCCGCCCGCTGAGGCCTAGAGACGGAGGTTTCATCCCGAATGAAGCAAAGAATTGGACGCTGATGTTGTGCATGTCCGAAAATAAGCTCGAAATAAGAGCAGCGCAATAGTGTGCCAATACCACTACCCTAAACAACAACGGAGATTGAAAACGTCACAAGTATGCGTATGATCGAGCAGTGAGACCTCGGCTGCAAAGCGTGCCACAAGATACCCTGGCACCCGTAGGTTGGCACAAGATACCACACACCCGCGGGGCTGATTTTCAAGGCTCATCACTCTGCAGCAATACAGCGACGGTGGCGAAACGGCGGCCTGGCAACGTGACATCCAGAGCTACCCGCAAATGTATTGTTTGACTGCCGTGGCATCCTGCTTGTCGAGCGAGGTGTCGATTGTAAAAATCGCTGCGGCATTCTTATCAGATTCGCGTGTGTGGACAACTGCCGGAAGGGCCAGGGAGAGGTGCAAACAACGTGCACCGACGAAGTAGGAAGAGTGTACCATGTGGATGGTACATGGTTGACAGGCACAGCAAAAAAAAGGGGCACCCACCGGGCGTTGCTCTTGAGCTTCTCTCTGACGGGAAGCGCCACCCGCTGTTCCCAGAACAACATGCGCCACGGCTTGTTGATCGATTTCTCCATTTCCTGGACCGTGAGCAAAAAAAATACGAACGCGAAGGTAGCCGGCGGTCTTCATGATGTGCGGGGGGGAAGGGGGGCATGAAGCCGTTGCAACGGATAACGCCTCGATGCTCAACAGCGTGGCAAGCGGCATCGGGTGTCCCTACACGACACACAAAAGCTTGAGGTGACGGCTTCGGAAAAAAACACCGGAATTGACTGGGTGACTGGGCCTTCCCGGGGTAGGCATAAAGTATCTACGCTACCTGGCAAATAGGATAATCCATGGCAACAAGGCGTTGAGGGGGAGACAAGAGTAGCGGGGGTGCCCTTACGCCGATACTCTTACCCAAAGCTCCATGCCAACCTCCAGCAGCACGGACAGGATGGCTATCTTCTCCTCCTTGATGTACTTGCAGCTCGTGACCTGCACAGAGATGAAATGGCACGTGGAGAAGGAGGGGCAGCATGGTGCCCTAAACACTCGGCGGTTCTTCGCAGGCCATTTAACCCAGAAAACGAGACGGACCGGATGGTCGTACTTGCAATCATGACTGGACAGAACTTCGTGCGAACATCGCAACGCGATATCCTATAAAGGGTAACGGACAGCCGCATCGGTTTGACAAGACTGCTTCCAAGACCCACACCCATGCGTGCAAAAAGCGCAACACGTGCGCATTAGCAATACAGGTAGTCGTGGATCCGATATGAGAGGGTGGGGTGACAAAGGCCCTCGAACCTCACATGTCAGCCCCCTCTTCCGTTGTTCCGGAACAAGAGGATCAACCCCCTCCATCTGGGTCCCCCTATAAACTACATGAGTCAATCTGGTCAAAAAGCAAAATCGGGAATATCGAAAAACGAAGCACTTGCAGCACAGCGAAACCAGGCGTGTGGTGGACTGACAGACCGAATCGGCATGCCCAAAGCAAACCATGCGGTTGTGATCGTGTCTGCAACGCTTTTTTTCGTGTTTAGTTGTGATTTCAGTGGTGACATCTGCACGGAAGAATTGCCCCTGTAGACGCGAGGCAAATTACATGTACAATATATGCACTAAGAGCGTTCAGGATGGAAGCGATATGATACAATGCCCTTCCCCGAGAAATCCTTCCCCGAGAAATTGCATGTGCACCGACTACAGCTACTGTAGCGACGCGCTACCTTAGCCATACGCTACTTGGTTCGAAGTGCTTCACAGCAGCATAGCAGCAGTGTACGTGACATCTGTGGGCCCAAAGCGGCTCTGACACTGTCTGCAACAACGTCAAGGAACAACAATCCGCTCTCAAGCAAAACAAGGCAGGCCACACATGTCCGAAGCATACACTCAAATCTACAGCAGTACCCGCACCCTCTTATTGTCATCTCTGGTGTAAGTGGCTGGTGGAGACTGAAAGCATCTGCAGTCGGGTGGAGCGAAACGGCGAGTCTCGACCCGCTAAAAATCTGAATATAGTCTTAGATTAGAGAGGCAGACGCAACAAATTCAACCGACAATAAATCTTGATCAGGGTAGGAGAACGTACGACTGGAACTGAGGTTGCTGGCCCGGAGTGCGTCATGGCTGACAGCTAGCAACTGGCTCCACCGGCGGAAGACTGCTGTCGCTCCTTGGCCTGGGGCTAAACGGGCGATGCGATCCTCGGAACGTTCGATTTGTACAAGGTATTACGGAGATGGGGCTGGACCTAAGAGGTGTCGGTCAGCCCGCAACGGGCATTCTTGTCAGCATACTCATCCAGCCGACAACAGCTCGTTTGTTCCGCTGTCCTTCGTTCTAGCATCAGTACACATGCACCTCTCTCACTCGCAACCCCGTACAGCAGTACGGATCGTCATATCTCTCGCCCGCCGCAACCCCCAACCGACTCGTCAACACACCTTCTTCGGCTGGCCGGGACTCTTTCTCGTCTGCTCGTTGGGGTCCTTCTGGACGTCAATTTGACTATTGTCTTGTTGGCCGTCCAAGACCTGAGCGGGCGCCGCGGTAGAGAAAGGGGAAGGACTTGCCGGTGTGATGTTCGGCGGCTGCTCCATCCTCTCCTCTCCCTCCTCTCTGTGTGAGTGGCTCTTTCCCTGCACTTTCCCCGCCGTAATATTTTCAAATGGTGCTCCCAAAATTGGCCCTTTTTTCAGCGCCACCCTCTTCCTCTCCCACACATACACAAAGGCACCTTTCAAGCAATCTGGGCACAGCGCACCCCCCCCTTTCCACACAGTCACATGCACGCGTCAAAATCTCACGCGCAACGCCGGTCAAAACTGTCGCTTGCGGCGGCGTGTTCGTAAGTTTTAGTCACGCGTAGGGGGCTTCGCAAATCGTATTTTGGGGTGGGGGCTAGGGCCGTGGGGCACAACCAGAAGGACGTGTCGACATCGATATCTGTGGCGGGCCCCCCAACAATTGGCCGGTATTCGAGCCTGTATACTTGTTTGAGATGATGCGCCTGCTGAGTGAGGCAGGTATGGATAGGATGCCACTGTACACCACCTCTCGTACCAACGTAACATCACATGATGACGTGGTTCGGTATGATGTCCTCTGAAGAGTCTACAGCAGCACCGAGAGCAGCACACCGTCGCGGAACACATAACAACTCGATCGACCAAATACTGCTGTTCTGTGTGTGTTTGCAGATTGGTCTAGCCATTATATCCACCACGAGGTATGATTGCGTGTTAGCTTCTTTCGTCCGCAATGCCCCAAGATTACATCATCGGTGGGAGGGTGTGCAACTACGCATGTACGTGTGGATCGACTATTTACAGCAGTATATCCACGGCTCGTTTCAAGATATGTATGGGGGCTGGAACCGAGCATGAAAGGGAAACGCTCGAATCGCATCAAGATCTATGGGATGGCACCGAGCATGACAGGGAAACCCTTGCTCTATTATCCTACGTGGTGCTAAATGCATCTGGTAGTGAAAATAGTTCTCCACTCCCTCGTGGTGCTACAGCAGTCTATTGGCGCAGGAGACGTGAGCTGTCTTGTAGGTCTAGACCACTTAGTTTAGTCCGAGCACGTGCGTGCTTGCTACCGCGAGGGTTTTCCGGGGCCGCTCTGTTAAAAGGGGAGAGGAAGAACAACGGTTGCGATGATGTGATACGTACGAATCAGGCGAGGAGGGTGAACGCTAAACGCAGGAAATGGCTAGACTTGCGGGGGGGCTGTTGTGGAACACTTAAACTTAAGTATAATTGTTCCGCGCTCAGCGAGGCCACATCATTATATTTTCTTGGGAGTACTTTCGGGGTCTGACTCCCCTTCATTTGGGTGGTGTCACCGCCCAACTACAAAACCAGCAGACACCACAAGAGTACACAAGGAACACAAACCTCCCCCACATTGTGGACTACTCTTTGTCGTCTTTCCATCACAATTTGTCGTAGGAGCTTATCGATCGTCCGTTGAAATGGAATTCGTGCCAGGTGATACTCTCGCTCCGGTTGCATTTACATTGTTTGTTGCTTCATTCGCTTCAAATCACAGCGCTCACAGCACGAGTGCCATCTTACTCTAACCCGTGGTCACACAGGAGGGCCCCTCTCTACCCTCCCCTCCTGCGATACTTTGCCTTCGATTTTGTAATCCGAGAAGAGTTCAGCACTATTTTGCCTCTGTATGCACACGAACTTGCGCTATCCACTAGGCCAGGAGCGAAAGCGAGAGAAAAACTCATCTTGCATGGAAAGCTCGCTTACGCCGGAATTCGAACCCCTGACCTGACCTCTGGAAGGTTTCGAGGATACCACCTGGACCACCGGGGCGACCGGCATGCAGCTACCCAGCTTATTATAGGGCCAGCCCCTGTGTAAGCACTGATGGTTCAGTACGGCCGTTTGTATCCAACACTCGCAGAACCATACCATGTCGGAAAGAATGAACATGCATCGCTCAGAACAACCATGAAGGAAGAACTCGCAACGGTAGAGTCGGCGTTATTCCATTACACACACTCTTGCCGTACGGAGCTTACACCACTACCACGCGTCCTTGGCCATCATGTGATTCACACGAAGCACGGAATGTTTCGGAAAACTTCTTCGTTTCCCCCCCGCAAACTGAACAGGTTCGCCACGACCCCTTTGAAGTCATCCGCAGCTGCATCACCCGCTTCCTCAGCCCTTGCAACATTGTTGCGCCCCACCTCCTGCTCAAGCCTTGCGTGGCACGCACGTAAGAGGCCACGGCGCCACCACAACGATCGCACCAGGTCCTGATGTATCTGCTCGAAAGTCGCATCATAATGCTCAACATCATCACGTGAAAGTGACAAAGCTGTTGAGACCGGGATATCGCCGTCGTTGTTATTGGCCAGTTGATATGCTCCCGCAGCCATAGCATTTCCATCAACTCCAGCTTCGATCCTCCGTTGTCGCCCGCTTCCGCTCTCACTGCCATGTGCAACGGGGTGTTGCCGTTCTGATCTAGTGTGTTGATGGCCGGCCCGTGCCTCAGCACGGTAGCCACGGTCTTCAGGTTGTGGAAGCTGCAGGCGGCATGCAGGGGGGTCCGGCCATTCGAGTCGGGCACGACCTTCGCCCCAAGTCTGACCAGTGCATCCACCGCCCAGGGGTGGCAATTCGCTGCCGCGTGCAAGGGGGTATCGCTGTCCTCATTCGCAGCATTGACCTTCGCACCAGATTCAAGCAGCGAACGAAGTACACCCGGTGGATTTCGCTGAAAGCGGAACTGATCGAGGCGAAGAGCAACGTCTCGTTATTACCGAAAAAGTTGGGGTTGGCTCCGGCAGCTAGCAGGGCTTTCACGGCTTCTGAATGCCGCCATTGTACTGCCCGAAAGAGCGGGGTTCCGCCGACCTCTTCGTGCCAGTCAAGGTCTGCGCCGTGACGCGCGAAAGCCTTTAGTGCGTCCGCCGCGCACCCATCCACCGCCGAGTGGACAGGGCTGTCGACGTCAGCCGGCCCGGAAATGACGGCGCCGGCTTTTAATCAGCACGTCGATCGCTTCCGCCTCGTTTCCCTCGGCAGCCTTTTGCAGAGCCGTTAGGTTGCGCCAACTTCTCGTATTGGGATCAGCTCCATGTTTGAGCAGCGTTTTCATCATGGACGCATTGCCATAGAGGGAGGCGATATCCAGTGCGGCGAAGCTGTCACGCTCTACGCACAGGTAGGCCACAGCGGACATGTCGGCCCCTGCAAGGGCATCCACAGCTGGCTCCTATTCTTGTAACGCTGCGATCAAGAGAGGTGTGTTCCCATCGGTATCCGTGGCGTTGAGATCAGCCGTGGTCTCTGCGAGTTACTCAATGGTAGCTGCCTTTCCGCGTTCAGCAGCACAATGGAAAGTGGTGCGATCTTTGCTATCCACCGCTGTTACCACCGCCCCACGCTCGACTAGCAGCCTCATCACTTCTGCATGACCTTCGGTCGCTGCGGCGTCCAACGGGGCGTCTTTGGGCTCCTTGACAACCCGAGATACATGTGCCCCAGCGGCCAAGAGCGCTCTCGCCACCGCCACCTTACCGAGGAGACATGCCAGGTACAGTGGCGTTCTTCCATTGCTGTCAAACGAATCAGGATCGGCCCCTTCGATTAGCAGCGTTCGCACGACTAGGTTCATGGCCGTGGCAGGCAGCGATATGGATAGCTTCCTGACCGCGACGGTCCTTCGAAGCAACAGACGCCCCGTGCTGAAGCAACTCACTGATGACACGTCGATGGCCATTCCGAGCAGCCGAGGCCACTCCGTTTCCTTTGGCCCCTGCCTTGAGCAGCACCGTGGCCACGTGAACCTCTCCGTGAGCAGCAGCGCGCTCAAAGGGCACTTGCAGCCACTCGCCCCACACCTGACACAGATTCAACGGATGTGACGGTTGCAAGTGTGTTGTGGTACCACCATGGAAAACAATGAAAGCAGGAAAAGACCCGCCGTCTGTAGACAACTGCAACGGCAATGGTGTGAGGGTGCACGATGTTGGGGTATGACAGACGAACAAGTGTGGTAATCGACAGGTTCGCCGCTTGACGGAGGTTCCAATCAAAATGGAGCTACGTATAGCTGTCTCTGTTCAACAATATTGAATCTACTCGGAAGTTGATCGACTCTTCGGCAATATGCTCCCTCGACCAAAACAGCCGCAACAGTTAGGGGTGTCAAAGCGGAAAATTTCCTACAGGAAAAAATTTGAAAAAGCGTCCCCGGATCTTGCTGATGGAAAATCGACCAGCCAATGAAATTGCACGGGACCGTCGGAACCTCCCGAAAAGACTGTCTGACGCACACGCGCGAGGGCGCGGCTCGCCTGTGTGCTTTGCGCCCTGCTATGGCGCACAACACAACACCATTGCGTGGTCCCACTCTAGAACATATGTCTTATGACACGCCCGAGCAGCCCCCGGGTGGTGAGATTGCACCGACGGCTGCTGCTGGTGCTGCTGCTGCGTCACGTGCTGGAGAAAACAACAGAAGCAGCGGCGGCAGCAGCAGCCAGGAGGAGCTCCCCATCATCCACGCGCATCGTCTCGGTTGTGTGCTACACATCCTGCACATCTCCATCACCGCGGGCATGACCAGCGCGCTCTTCATGGGCCCGCTTGGTAAGGGTTCCTGGCATGAGTGGGAGCGCGACCATGTTTTCTCCCTTCTTGGTATGGTCTGGTACAACACAAGCCGCTCAGGGTCGTCGAACGGAAATTTTCAGCGGTGGAAAAGGGTAGTGGCGGCGCAGTTCCCTAACGCGAAGCCGTGGCTCATCAAGTTCATCAGGCCTGCTGAGACGCGTTGGATGGTGGTTATGGACGGGGCCAAGCTCCTCTGTGAACGCTGGGAACAGGTCGAGTGGCTTTTTTGCGAGTACGCTGCTAGAAACCTCAACAAGACGACTTTCAGAAACTACTGGGTCCAGTCGGCGTGCATGCTTCGAGATCCTTTGGTTCGTGTGCATGTCATGTTCACGGCAAGGCTCGGAGAGCTGTTGTTCGACTGGGCGTACAACTGGATTCATGGCAAAGGGGGGTTCTTTCTGAAGGGCGAAGGGGTCGGTCGGCGGCTG